TACTGCCAGCTGTGATCTTCATCAGCATATCTGATCTGTGTGTTATTAGTGATTTTAGGCCATGTTTCAACTAATACAGTTTAGGCTGTTTTCACTTTTGTAACGCTTGGCTCTAGAAAGTCCTCTCCCTGCTATGATTTGGGCTTCCTATTTATACGTCATTAGAGAACGAAATGGCACTACAAACAATGATAAATCCAAATCTCTAGTAATTTCATAAGTTTAATACTTCTTTGCAATATTGAATTCATGCTTCAAATATTCATTCTACACAAGTAGAATGCTTTAGCATCTATGTTTCTTGGAGTAGTTTTCACACCCGTGCTGTTATTCTATTTATAACTTCATTTTTACACAGACCGGGGAAAGTCAGTGTGAGGGTCATTAAAATGTAATGAAATATAAGACAGATGCCCAGAAAACACTCACTTTAAAACCATTTCTAGTAGTGTTTATAAAATTGTTTTAAAGTTACATTTTAAATGCAGTGTAGGCTTCAAAATAATTCATTTCTGTATTAGCCCCAGGTGTTTTCAAACCTGAAAAGAAAATTAAAACCAGGTCCTGACATTCTAAACTGCAATTGACTCTGCTTCCACACAGCACAAATGACCAAATTACAACATTTAAAACATGCACTCAACTCCACCAACAGAGTTTGTGGATACACACTCAATTACTGACCTGCCATCCACTGTCACAATTGTTTGCTCCACAGACACTGCGAATCCCAGATACAAAACAAGCAGTAGGAACCTAACAGCAGCGTTTCTTTCCATTGGGAAGACAGCCAGTCCCTCCACACCCAGGACATCTGCTCCTCTGGTCCAGTGGGCAGTCGGACGCCCACGCTCTGCCTGGCAGAGTGACGGGCAGCAGATCCAGCCAACCGGGGGCGGGATTCGCCACTCCATTGCTGCACCGGTACCCACGGGAGAAATTCTTCGCGTGCTCAGATTTATTCTGACGGCAGACACCTACCACTGGCACGTTCCAGCCTCCTTGTGAATTAAAGATTACACATTCTGGGGAAATTGTACCAGGATGTGAGCTGCTTGCTAAGGACAAAAGAAACAAAATCAGATGGTCTCTCCCGGCTCTAAAATCACACTGAAGAGCACTTCTTATCTGTACTCAACCCTAACCTTAAAGAATGGTGAAGGTGCTATTTCCAAACAGCTCTGAAATTTCTCCTTCCGTATGATAACCAGAGAAAGAATTACATGTATTTTGAAGTCTTATAATACCTTCAGAGTAATAGTATTATCCCCATTTTACAGATTGAGAGCAGACAGAGCAAGCTTAGAAGTCAAATATTTGGAAGTTGTTTCCTTTCTTCAGCACTAATTCAGTTTGTGCATGTCCAGCTTTCTGGCTCAATTGTTTTTATACTTACAGGTGACTCTGAGCCAGACCACAGTTGTTACATGCCCACAAAATTACAGTGCTTCTGTTTCTGGACTGTCAGACTGAGACACCAAGGTGCATGCACATCACTGTGAATACAGCAGGTTGGTTCTGGGACGGGTCATTCTCAAAAGATACGGTGGGTCGCAGGCATGGGTACCTCTTCTGCAGACCCTCTGTCCTCATCAGCCTTCTCAAAATATACATCAGCTGTGCTCATGATGGCAAAGAAGAGGGCAAGGCACATGAGCTGACTCCTCAGACCCTATGACCCACATGCATTCTCCACACATTGCTCACTAACCGCAGCTTGCATTCGCAGTGTCTACACAGGACCGGGAAAGCTGAAATCAAGATACTTACTGGTGGACCAGGTGCAACAACAGTGCTCTGCAGCGCGCTCATATGCAGTCTGGCCACCTTCATGAACACAGCCATGGATCTGTGATCAGTCTGGAGGGAACTCTGGGGCCCAGGCAGAAATGGGTTCTTTGTACCCACCTTCAGCATGGGCACCTCACTCTCGAAAGGAAGCTCAGACCAGCACTTAGCTGACATTTAGTCACACTGCACCCTTCTCCACTTAAGTATCAGTCACAACCTGCTCCTGCTAACAGCTGTGTGTATACACCTACCTATGTAAGCACAACCCACACACACACACACTGCTTTCTTGTTCGGCAGCTGATGTCAGCAACCTGCTGATGTGATCACACAGTAAGCCCTACTTCACTGATTAAAAGCTCCTGTCTATTGCATTCCAGATACCAGATAAAGATAGGGGGGTTAGCATCGTAACTATTAGAAAGGATTTACCATCTTAATTCATTTCTCTTTCAGTGATACAACGTATTGACTAATCTTAAAACTCAACAGCTTGTCCTCAGTAGCACTGCTTCTATCCAATTTAAGGAGGAAGATGGATACTTATGTGAGAATCCCAGCTTGAAAAATGAGGTAAGGGAGCATAGTGATAAACAAGGACCAGTCGAAGATAATCTCTAAATTTTCTGTGAAGCACCAGAAATGTATGATGCTAAACTTGGAATCACTACACTAGTACAGAGACATAGCTCAGCTGAAAGTTTTAAGCAGCCCTGGAAGGAGGCAGAAGTGCCACACACCTTGCTAAAAACTGCAAAGCCACTAATGTCACTGGCCTGTTAAACATTTCAGTACTCCTGACCCATAGTCCCTCCTAAATAAGTGGGGGGGAAAAGGCACAGACAGGCTTTCTGATGATGCCTTGAGATTTCATTCATGTGCTGCTATCTTCTAAGTGTTCTTCATCAGCATGGGAGCAAAAGCCAAGAAATAAAAATGCTGAAATACAAACCACTATGGCACAAATGAACAAATAACGTGTCCTTTGAGGGCAGAAAAAGTGAGAGAAAGTAGTACAAACAACACACGGCAGCCCACAGCTAAAGTCAGTACAGGTTGAATCCATGATAATGTCCTGTAGTCCGTTCTGTGACAACAGAATGTACCTTTAACTGTACTTCCAGCCTGTGTGTTTCCATGGTGCTACCAATTTCTAGAGGGAACCTGCCTTCTTAGACCACCGTTTCACATAGTCAAAGAGGGGAAAAGTACATGTCAATTTGCTCAGAAACAAAGGGGTTTTTGCAGACAACCAGGAAAACAAGTAACGCCAAACTGCTAACACAGGTTAAACCAGTATAAACCAGTGAAAATATACTGACTTCCTCACTATACACTAATAGTATGGGTGCTGATAGTAATTCACTAATCAGCAGTCATCATCTGAAATAATGGTAGAAGCAAAGAGCATGAAGAAAAGTCTTTCCTTACCTCTTGACACCTGCTAATAGTAATAATAACAACAACAATAACAATATTAAACATTTGATACAGTTCTGAAAAATGTTGCTTTTTTATGAGGTTCAAGCATAAACAGACTCACGTGGTATCTAGAAAGAAATGAGATCCACTGAAAGCAAAGAAGTCATCCTAAGCATTTACTTCATTCTGGTGAAGAATGATGACAAAATCACCATCTCTGCATTAACGTTTAAAAAGAAAACTTAAATGGAGCCTTGCATGCAGTAGTCCTGGCAAGGGCACAATTAGATGAGCTCTTGTGATTCAGTTGACGAATTGCTGTTGTACATTTGCCTGTTTTATGTTGAAATCAACCAAACAAAGCTTGCTCAGCCACATGCTTCAACTATATACATACACAGTGGACAAAGGGTGAACAGAGGATCATGGGCAAAGCCCACACACTGTTTTATGGAACACACGAGGTCGCATTCAATTTCACAAAGGCATCCGATGAACGTCCGGCAGGACAAAGTCAATGGGGAGTCAACAGTTTTGTTTACATCCTATACGATGGGCTGTGGTGGGCTACAAGTGGCCAATATTCCAAATAAGAGGATTAAACTGCTGTTTATCATCTTTTTCCCCCTCTGGCAGTAAGTTTTTGCTCGTTATTACTCTTCATGAGAAACTCGTCCTTTGATGATAAAGCAGCTACCACTTTGTTGTTTTTTACTTAGTATCATGGCAGTTCAGACATTTCCACCACCAGGGAGGAGGCACAGCAGGAGATCTTACTGTACTTTAAACACTGCTCTTTTTTTGGATCTACCTTGCAGAAAAGGTAGTTGAGAAAGCAGCTGGAAATTATATTCAGCGTAAGTGTTCACAGTTTCGTGAGGTTTGTGAAGCAATCAGAGACTGATAGGTTAGACAGTTGATACTGCTGGCATCCCACACATCCCCGAATGTGTCACCACAGCCCAGCAAACCCCTTGTCAAATGGGATGGTTACATAAATGTTGATGGACACCCTGAGATGACAGCTGTTCTGCCTGATGCTGCAATGATTATATGCACACTGAGTTTGCATGCAATGAATGAGACTGCAGACATAATTTTAAAGATGGATAATTTATCTCTTTGGCTAACATCTCCTCAGGTGGACAACAGCATGATCTATTTTCAACTCAGTTTATAGCTACCTTCAGATGACATAGCCGGTCACCATGAACTGAGCAGCTTTCTAAAATAACGTCTCAGCTGAGGTATGAAGTATCAGCCACTGTACAAGGTACTAGCACTTAATATGTCATTACTCTTTTTTTACTTTGAGACATGCATTGTTCCTCTGATTCAGATATATTCACAATGCACTGACAATGCAACAGAAGCACGGACAGAAAATTGGCCTTAATATATATTAAGACAAGAAAAAGCTTGTCTCACTTCCAACAAAATCCTCTCTCTGGGCAACTAATTTGCCTGGAGGCCTTTCAGCCTTCATCTCCACCACGCAGGCTGGGATGATGCAAAAATTAATCCTGTTATCACCCTCTTTCCTGCCTCCCTTCTGCTCCTTGCACCCTTCCTCACAACTCCAAAGGATGCCATCCTACCCCAAGAAATATCCATACAGACTCCAGGCCCTACCACAGCTGGTCTGGATGGAGACTGGATCACAAATGAAGCATCCGATTTTTGGTCTACCTTCAGGGGAGGGGGGGACGGGACGGGACAGACCACACACACACAAAAAAAAAACCAAAACACAAAAAAGCTCAGTCTGTGTTACTAGGTAGATTTACCACCGTGGAAGGAGGTCCCAACACTCGTGTACCTCCACTCCCCTGGAGAATATAACTGTGGCAGCCAGAGGGTCTGGTTCGTTTGTTTTACACCCACCAGCCTTTTGTGAAGTACTTGCCGTTCAAGTGAGGGAAAGCCACAGGCTCTGAGGTACCAGACAAGGTAGTCAAAGCCCTAACTCTCCCTCTTTTTTTCCTTCAACCTCCTCTTTTTTGTTCTCCCTGCCGGAACAGGCCCATGAGGCAACACCCGAAGCCTTTCACCCGCCCGCAGGCGGGGCCGCGCTAAGGAAACGGCGGGGGCGGGGGGGAAGGCACAGGAGGGGCGGG